GATCACGTGATGATCGACGAAAATTGGTGTAACATAACAAATTCAAAACAAACAAAAAAAAATCACAAATTTCGTAAGAAATCGCCATTTGCTGAGCCAAAATTAGCATAAGCCGCGACAATTATTAAACCAACATACAATTGGTTTAGATATTTGATGAAATAATTAATTAAATAATTGTTCGGCTATAGCCGGCTATTTAGCCGGTAATAGCCAGCCGATAGCCAGTCGTAGCCAGCCGTACCCATCCCTAGATACTATAGGAAAAACAATATGAACATTCTTTACAATCGACCATCCGTAGGCTAAAAGAGAAACTGGAACTAACACGGAACCAAGCCAAACACAGTTTATTCTCATTTCCGGATAAACATCACCATATTTCGCACTAATTTTCAACAATAAGAAATCCGAATAATATCCAGAGACCATATTTCCCAATGTGTAACCAAATCCAAGAGAAAGAAACACAAGACCGATGTTGGAAATGGAAAGATTAAATTTTGAAGAAAAAGTTCTTGGAATAAGGGTATTCTGGATATATATCACAGAAAAAACGGTACTTATGTAACATAGAGTCAAAGATAAGTTTGGGTAGCGAAGTAAAAAAAGTGGAGAAAAAGGATTAAAATGCTTTTTAAGAGATGGATCCATGGAGAGTGACACCGGAACGTGGTGAAAGGTTTCGGGAAGAACAAAGTAGATAAGAACTAAAATGACACCACCATATAATGACAGAAACCAAAAAATAAATCTCCAACCAAGGTATTGAGCTATATAACCGCCCATGGTTGGACCGATAACAGGACCTATTACAGCTGATTTGAAAATTAGTGGGACACATGATAATTATTTTTCGGTAATAACAGTATAGTTTTTCGATAATATAATTTTCGGCCGATATATTATCGCGGTATGTTTTGTACCGGCCGAAAATTATATTATCGAAAACTATACTTTTATTACCGAAAAACAATTACCGAAATTTGCTGACGATCATCACAAAATTCATCACGTGTCCCACTAATTTTCAAATCAGCTGTAAAGGACCCAAATAAAACCATCCATATGCGCGTCCACGTTCTAAACATGAAATATGATTATTAAAATGCATTGCTAATAATTGAGATGACGGAAGTCACTTGTAAAACTAGATAATTTACCAGTATTTATAAATATATCACTTATAGTTCCAGCACCAATACTCAAGGCGGAAGAACCACCACAAGCCTGAAAAAAGCGCATAACTAACAATAACCAAATATTATTCGATACAGCACATATTATTCCAGCAATGACGTATATTACAAGGGAAATTAAGTAGACCCTTCGCCTTGTTTCATGAACATCGGAATATGAGGCCCACCTAGAGATGGGAAAAATGCGCATTTTATAATAAAATGCGCATGAATGCGCATTAATGCGCATGAAACCCATCTCTAGGCCCACCCAAGTGGCTGCAAATAAACAAATTATTGTTAGATATTTTTACATAACACAAATGTTGCAAAAAAGAAACATACTGAAACGCCCAGGAACAAAATGTAAACAGAAACTAAATAATTAATGCAAACAAGCAATTATGTTATTAAACCATATTATCATTAAATTAGTTATTGATTAATGATTGGAACTCATCAACTCATGACTCAAATAACTTGTACTGTATAACTTGAATTTATCAGGTAATTTTTTAACTGGCAAGCCATTATACAGCATATTACATGTATTAATAGGGTGCCCTAATTTCCCCACCACTTCATTATCGGAGAACTATAAAATTGATTAATAACACAGATCTCCGATATGTGAATAATTAGTAGAACCAATCAGAAGTGGTGGGCGAAATTAGTAAATACGGATTAATAAACTTGTATTTGCTAATTAGAAAAGAGGCATTTACTTTTATAAATGGTAATATAATTTTTTATGGCTCGAATAAAACTCGAACAAATTAACTAGATCAAATAATTCGATTACTCTGAGCTTAATTCAGTTGATACGATCCAATTACCGGAGAATCTACAGACAGTGCTTATGGACAGTGCAAATTTACGTAATTCACATTATATTGTTAAAATCCATCTGCCCTCAGTGTTAACTAACAAATCTGCACTGTCCCTAATAGAAATGGACAAATTAATTACTTATTACGTACGTACGTACGTACGTACGTAAAAAGTTAAATCACAGTATGCAACAGTTTACTTACTAATAATCTATATTTGCAACTTGCTAAATTGTCATATTGCGTAATGTGATTTTTTATGTAATAAGTAATACCTTGTATACCTATTCCTAAAGCGCTGTCCGTAAAACTTTTGTCAAACTATCACATTAAATCACATGAACAAAATTATTTTACTTGCTTAAAGCATTGGAAAGAACTTGAGAAGTATTTAGATCAGTCCCAATTTGGATAACAGCCGGAAAAATAATTCTAAACAGAAAAATCAAGTTTTAAATATCAAAAATACAGGTTCAAAAAAGAACTTCGGGACTCTCACGTGCTAGAAATACTG